AATTTAGAAAGTGGATGAGAGACTAATAAATGTGGGTTCAAATCCTGACGGCCACTTTCTGTTATTAGCGGGTATATTAGTGATCCAGGTTAAGCACCAAGGAATCTGAGCAAAGCAGCTCAGGACCTGGAGTAGGTGATCCAGTAGGCCACCTTCCTGGTTCCTTCTTTGCCTGTAATTGCCAGCTGCGCGGCCCTGGGCAAACTCCTTTGCCTCTCTTGCCCTCATATTAAAACAGCAATAATGACAGGTTGGATCTCAGAGGGTAAATGAGACTGTGTATACAAAGCCTTCAGAAAGCACACAATGGACTCTTAGTAAATGTGAGTTCCCGCCATGATAAATCAATAAATATTATTTAATAAGATTGAAACGGACTTCATCTGAGAATTTCTGAAATTGTATAGTGTGTTTTTGCCTTTTTTTTTTTTAACAACTTCTCATCTTTTTGCTGACCTACAATGTTTAAGATGTGTTGAACCCAAAAAAAAGCTTATTTTAAGAATCATTCCTTGGAACATTATTTCATTACTTAAACTTGCTGCTGACTCATCTGTCCCTTGGTAACTGAGTCTTTACCAATAACTTTAATTACATCAATCACTCATTCCAGAAAGAGCTGAATAAGGAAAATTCCTAGAGGTGACACCATGGACTTCTGTCATACAAGCAGGGACTTGTGGTGGGAGAACTGGTTTTTCTTTTTCTTTTCTTTTATTTCTGTCTTTTTTTTTTTTTTAAATAACATTCACTACTTCAAACAGGGGCTATAAAACATCTAGTCTTTATAATTTACTGTCTGTCCATCTAGGTCTCTATTTATAACAAGTGATCTTCATAACAGCAGCAAATGACGATTGAAAGAAATTGAATTTGTTTCAAATTCTGCCATTTCTGAGACATAAGGTCCAAATCTTTGCTGTGAGGGTTAAATAAATGATAGCTGAGGCTACCAACACCAGTTCTTTTGCTGAAATCTGCTAATCTCAGAGTTCAAAAGTTAACGTGCTATCTAAACAGTTATTTTACATTCAGTAGAAGCAAGTGAAAAAACTGAGATACTGGAAAGTTTCTTGCCTAAATTGGTGCCAACATAAGGCCACAGCCTAGGGGTGTCTGGCTGTCATTTTTCCTGCTTGGATGGAGCCAGCGCAGAGTTACTGGCCATTCTCCACTGCTTTTAGTGTGACCTGTTTTCCTGGTCATGTGCGGCTCGGATCGACCAGGAGTAGAACATGGTACCTGCTACTTGCCAAGCTTGAACTATTTTCTGACCCTGCAAGGAAGCAACGGTCCTCAATTTGGTGAGACAAGTGGGAGGATGCCAGTGTGGGCATCTCACAAAACCCTACCCCACAGGGCACACTCGTACTTCCTACCCTCCAGTCTCTGGTCTGCTTGCCCTGGACTAACATGTCGACCTAATAGGTCTGTGTGCAGGGTCTGCCTCCATCTTTCCATCTCTGTACTCTTACTACCCAGGAAACTAACCCTGGGGCTATAAAAGATTGTACAACACAAGAGGACAAATCAAACCTATACTTTCAAAAAACTGAGTCACAAATCCTCTATCATTCAAAGCCCTTCACCATCTGGGCCACTTCCTTATCTAAACATAGGCCTCAAGTCTCCTCATGGTAACACCTGATGGGGATGGGGTCATACTGGCTGAATAGTGGCTTCCTGAGCCCTTTTCCCAGCCTGATTGCCATGCCTCCACCACTATCTATGTCCACCTGTGCTGCAGAGACTTAGGGAGAGGCCTCTCCCATGGCTCCAGCCAGTGTGGCTTTCTCTCCACGTGGGGCAGCTGCTGAGCATGAGGCAGTGATGTGCACAAACTCTGCCACACAGCAGCCGTGTGACCTTGGCAAGCATCTCAGCCTCTCAGAACTTCAGTTCCCAACAATAAGCTGATATTCTCTGTGTCTTTGAGCTGGTCTTGAGGATGAGTGTAAGCATGTCTGGAGAACACCTTGGAACTCACTCATTCTAGCACCGCCTACACAGCCAGGTGCATACACTGGTCACACACTGCGTGCCCACCCCTATGGAAGATGGAAGAGAAGATAATCTCAAAAAGCACACACACTTTGAGCTTTGTGCTGTCTGTGCACATGTGTGTTCCTGTGAAAACTCAGATCTGGCTCTGAGCTCTCACGGCCCACTTATCTTAAGCCAGTGCCAGGTTGTTTGTTCCAAGAGGGCTACTTGTAGTAGGCTTTGCTTTTTGCTTTGTTTTTAATCAGTGCTGGCGATGGAAGCCAGAGTCTTGTATGTGCCAGGCAAGTGTTTTATCACTTATACCCCTAGCCCACATTTTGGTTTTCTTTTTCAAAACTGTTCAACCTAGCTGTCTGAGGGCATTTATTCTTCTGCCCCACATTTATGATGAATTCCTTATATGTTCAACTCATTAGGTTTGCAGCTTCCTAAGTGAGACACAAGGTTTTAGCTGCTGGGTCATGGACATGAGGCATCCAGGTGCTGCTCTAAGGTTGAGAAAGTAACCAAGCGCATGCTATTGTTCTACCAGTAGCTGCAGGGAGCCCCTGAAATCAGTTCTGAGGTGAACCTGAGATGCAAGTGTCTCACCTCGGGTCAGGGGGCAAGCTGAGACTCAGAGTGGCTGGAGGTGGGGAAGTAGCCCGCATGCTGCTCCTAGGAAGGTAGCTCTCAGCTGCCCTGGCATTTGGGCATGAGAAGGTGAGGACAGAACTCGCTAGAAGCTGACATCCCATGCACTCATTGCAATCAGGGGGATTTCCTCCCTGAATGCTCCAGCCCTGTCCTGAGTTCTCATTCTTGCCTGTAGAATAATTACAGGGACCCAGCATTTATGTGATGGAGAGTGTGGTTCACAGTCAGGCTGCCTGGGTGCTTTCTCCTCTATGAACTCCTCTATCTGGCTCTCTTAGCTACTGCCACCACCATCTAGAAAAAGAGAGTGAGTCAGTTTTTCAAGTTCTCTGAACCATCACCTGTGGCTTTCAAATCCAACTGGTCCAATGTCTTCCATTTCTTTGTTTGACTCGCTACTCTTCTCCCATGATAATCCAGCGTCATCCTTTAACTTCCTCATGGCTGGCCAGCACTAGTCTTGCTCCCTGAAGTTGATCTTCCACACTGAGGATAGACTGCATGTGTACCACCACAAGTCATTTGCCTCAAGTATTTGATGGTCCTCGTGGCTCTCATATGAGGACCTGCATATATACAAGGACTTCTAGTATGATGTTCCATCAGACTTGACACTCTCACTCTGGGAAATGCCATGTGTAGGTCTGTCTCCCTTCTAGGCCTTTTCACACGCTGTTTCTTCTGTGGGGCACACCTGTCTCTCCCCTGTCCTCCTCTCCCTGCAGTCCAGCTTCTTCATAGGCTGTACAAAGGTGTATGCTTAAAGCTCCTCAATCAGTGTTCTGCCCCTCTATGTGCTAAAGGTATAAATGAAGGATAAACATGTTTAAAAACACCCTTTCTACCTTTACAAGTTGTGTGACCTTACATACATAATTCATTTCTGAGTTTCAATTTCTCCATCCCTAAAATGGGACAGTCATAATGTGGAGTCCATCCCAAGAGGACACCTTAAATGCCAGCATCCTCAGAGGATTATTGGGAGGGTTAAAGGTGATCACTGCAGGCAAATTTCAGAAATGGAGAAATAAACAGAAGTATAAGCCTGATCTAGGCCTTAAGGAATTTTTAATAAGTCCATACTCATGTGACCATGGCTGAAGCATTTGAGAGCCGTTTCCTTCCTTCTTTTTTCCTAAGAGGACTCCAGTTTTGTTTGGGCGTAATAGTGCACCCAGCCCTAGGGGATAAACCATTCATATCTGCATCAGTTGTGAGAATTCTGTTCTCCTTTATAAGGCTGTTGCTTTCCTTTCCTTCCTTGCAGCTAGGTGGCTATGTGAACAATTCTGGTCAAGGAGATATGAGGAGAAGTCTACTAACTTCTGAATCTCAATCTTTTGTAAAATGAGTTGGAATCAAAGAACAGTGATTTTTAATGTCCTTGACTTTTTTTTTTTTTGCAAGCAAAAGACCCTGTTTTTTTTTTTTTTTTTTTTCTTGTTCCTTAAATATCTTATGTTGAATCCCAATGTATATGACAAGGGAAGCACAGCTGGTCTAATAGAAAGAGAGATGAGACTGGAGGCCCTGCTCCAGTGTTCACTGGCAACTCCTGAGCACACTACAAACAAGCATTTTGAAAAACTCTGCATTGTAGCATCTCTGTCCTGTAGTAGATGTGTGTTATTTTACTTGGTTGGTGCTTGTTTTGTCTTGTTTGGGGCATGCAGATTCCATTTTAGCATCCTGAATTTTCTCTTGAACCATCCAGGGGTTCACACACTTCTAATGAAGTTAATTCAATTCTGAGTCCAGGTCTAGGAAGATGATCTAGGCATGACCGATATTCCACCACATGAAGATAGATATTGGTTCAGGAATGCACACGTAACCCAACTTAACCCAGCAAGATTGAGGCCTAGGATTTTTATTCCAATTGAAAAGAAGGGGAGGCTTTGTTTTCACATTGAATTTGAACCTTTGGGAACATGAAACCTGAAGATAAAGTTCCAGTGAAAGGGAACAGAGCTGGAAGATGGAAAAAGACCAACTCTTAGAGGATATAACTCTTTATCTTAAGCTTTGCCTGAAGACAGTTGGACCTACTATTTGACTTTGGTTTAGTGAGTCAATATTTGGTTGGATAGTTTGAGTTTCACTTTCTATTATTTACAGCTTAAGAGGCCCCTTCCAAAACCAGGATCCTGAGGTAGATATTAGGGATGCTCACGAACATCCTGCTGTTTCTCCTCCTCCTGGACATGTGGTAAGGTTAGGTTGCACTTGACCTCTCCTGTGTCAGGCACGACACATGACTTTCTTTTCCGGCAGTTGAAATGATAGTTGTCACTTCCGGTTGTTTAAAACTCAGTGCATGATTCACCCTCCTCTCTTTCCTTTCCACAATCCTGTTCCAGATGATGAAGACTCCATCAGCCTGGGTCCCAGATTGAAGACAACATGGAGTGGAGACCTCTGCTGACCTGTGATGGAGATGTATCCGTGAGCAGGAAATAAACCTTTGTTGCATTAAACCATTGCGATACCGAATCTTTTGTTATAGTATCAAACCTTAGAGGATCCTTAGTGACATACTTACAATTCTTATTTTCCTTCTCCTTTTCTTCTTGTTCTTTCTCCTTCTTTGTCTCCTCCTGTTTCTTCTGTATTTTTTTTTCTCTCTGTTTCACTCTTTCTCTTTTCTCTCTCCTGGCTGACTTGCTATGCTGAGCAGTCCTATGATCCTATTTCTTATTTCTGTCAACAGATCATTAAAAGTCTTCAGTGATTGCTCATCTCCTGCCTTCCCAGCAATATTCAAGTGGACATTGGCAGGGGATAACCAGCCTGCCTGGACAAAGTCATGCCCCTGGCATCCTTACCAGTGCCAATCAATTATAGCTGTCAGTCATTTATCCTCCCCAGAACAGGCCTCAGCAGGCCAACATCCTAATCATATTACTGGGCACATGGGGCTCTGAGTGCTGGACTAAAACTGTCTTTAGAAATTCTCATTCATTATCTCATGAAAATTAGCAAGGTTCTAAAATTTGTGGCACAGTCCTGAGAACATAATGCTCTGCCAAGACAAAACACTGACCATTAAAATATTATATACATCAGCTTTAGTTGTTAATAAGCAATTTATAGAGCTGATTACTTAATTAAAGCAATGTACAAGATTCTGCATCTGGGATGGAGGTTTGGAAATGTCTAAGTTCTTTGGAAAGTAGAAAAGTGGATGTAAATCACTTCTGAAGTCTGTACATGATCATCATTATTAATCTAGATGACACTTCTAAGCTCTGGGATCTCAAAGTCATGGTGGCAACTGCCATGTCCACGGGCCAAGTGGGCCAATGGGAGTGATGCACATCCCAGGGCAATTCGCAGCGATGGGCCTATTACATTCTGCTCTCCCTAATTGTAACCATATGGGGGTACAGATGCAATGTTGCCAGCACCCCTACTTTTTTTTCAGGGAAACTTGAAATCCATATTAATTGCCAACTATATCGTATTTTTCCTAAAATGCTATAAGGTTGAAGCTTAGTTGGCAATCACAGGTATTGATAGTATATAGCATAGTAAGTCTTATTATTTTTTTCTATTCTCCTTTATCTTCACTTTACAGATTAGGAAACCAAACACTGCACCCAAAGAGATAGAGCCAGACTCTAGAACTTGCACCTATTGCTCATCTTCTGACTCTGAGTCGATTACTTTCTCTTTTTATAACAGGACTGTCCTCTCAGGGCAAAGATCTGCCACTCAGGCTTCCTGTATACCAAAGACCCATGCCCGCACTTCCATGGTGGAAGCTGGTAGTGGGATGCAAACTGGGGACTACTTTTCCTAGTCTCCCTTCCAGACAAAGTCCTGGGACTAGTTGAATAAAGTCAATGGAGTAAGATAGGAAGTGATTTATGTTTCTTCCAACCAATAGCAGGTAGAAAATGACTATGCCTTCTGTTGCCACTGCTAGCTGTAGACAAGGACAGCAGCCTTAGAGTCCTATATGTTAAATAAAACCTTCAGGTGGAATGGATCTGGCTTCCTGAGTGACCGTTCAGAGAAAAATCTTCTTTGGCTTTGACAGTAGGGATACACACACTTCCATCATATTTGAGCAGTTATACATCTTGGTTGTTTGTTACAGCACCTAGCATTACCTTAACCAGTGGACATATGAAAGGATTTTAAAAAGTCTTTTCCTTTTCCATTTTGGCAGGAAGAGTTTGTAATGAATAAGCATACACTGGAGTCTAGTGAATTGCAGAGAAAATGATTCCAGTTATGTTTGGATTCTGGTGATGGGAACAGAGTGGCTCTGAGTGTCACAGTGTCGCTGCATCTTTGTGCCCCTTTCCCCAAACCTAGCTTCAAAAGGGGGCTGGGCCATTTCTGTTTCCACTGGTAAGGAGCTTACCATCGCTGAGGACTCCTGGAAGAAGACAACAGACAAAACAAGCTTGCTGCCTGTCTAGGCCCCACACCCTCCACCAAGATAGGAGTCAACATGTTTGAGAACATCAAAGACAGCATGATATCTTAAGCATAAGGAGATTAACATTTACAAAGGTTTGCCCCTCGGCCTATTCCCAGGAATCCAGCAGACAGAGCCCGAAGGGACAATTAACATCACCCATCTACACAGGGGTCTCCTGGAATCTCCTATTAGAAGATTTTCTTTTTGACTTTCTGCTCCATTGGGAAAGCAGGAGGCGAAGGGCTGGTCTCAGATTTGAGCAAGAACCCTCCACATACACAGAGGAGATGGTAAAACACAGGGGCCTTGGCGGTGTGGGCATGAAGTCCAATGGCACCATTCCACCCTCATGAAGACTGTGGTCTGGCACTGACAGAGGGGGAGTCTGTAGCTATCACCCTCGAGCCAGAGGCAGTGCCCACCAGCCAGCCAGCCAGCACAAAAGAGGGGCAGAGGCAGCCTGTGCAGATCAAGGAGGGGCAAACCCTGGCTCAGCTCTGCAGCAAGAGGCCACGAATACCTCAGCACACTCCAGTACCAGCAACAGTAGGCGATGGATGGGGCCCAAAATCCCTCACAGCTGTTGGAAACCATACCCTATTCAGAGATAATTGGCAATTAGTTAAACAAGTCCTGTTTAGAACACTCCTCCTCCCTACCCTCCAAGACAGCTGTGTTTAAAAAGGGGAGGGGTGAGACTTCTCAAGAAGTGTAGAAACCTGATCTTCAAGTCAATAAAACATAACAGAGCTCTGGGAGCAAGTGAGTTAGACAATTTAAAAATATGTCAAGGCAACAGAACCCTTTCTAAAGTGCACGGCTTTGGTTTTCTCTTGATGTATAACACTGCGGCTAAGAACATAAACTTTGGCATTGGAGAAGTCTAGATGTGAGTCCCTGGTCCACCACTTAGCAGCTGGGTGAACCTGGGAAAGTGGTTTCAACTCTCTAAACCTCAGTTTTCTTTTCTGTAAAATGGAGATGATCATAACTGTACCGTGAAGATTTAGTGAGTGGGTCCTGGAGCATAGTCCTCTTCCAGAAGGGACAGTTTTTAGGCGTTTGTGCTCAATCAAGTCCAGGTTCCTTAGGCTGCATTTAAAGTCCTCTGCAGTTTATCTGCAGTGTACTCTTTCAAACTCTTCCCTGTCTCACACCCTTGTGATTCAGCAGCTAAGAAAGCTGAACCCCTAGCTGGAGCCTCCGAATCTGTGAGCTGAGAGTCTCACTGAAGCCCCTACGGTTCACTGTTCCCACTGCCTGACCTTCTGTCCTCTCATCTCCACCCTCAAGTCTTCCCAGACCCTCAAAGTCAGTTTAAATGTGAGGCCCTCCCTGGGCAGAGATTTCTTTCTTTTTGCAAATCAACTCAAACCAGAGTAGTACCTGGGTGGTCCCTTGACTGCACTGTATTTTTGTCTTTGTGTGTGTGTTGGGGGTCTAAAATCAGCACATATTAGTTACACACAGTAAACTATAACATACTTTGATAACTGTCACCCCCCTTCTCCTTTCCTCTCTCATCTCTGGTCCCATCTCTCCTCTCCTCCTACTTTCCCTGCATTATATTTTAAAGAGCATATACACTTTAAAAATATTTCTTTTCCAGTTTCTCTTATGAAGCCAGAAGACCTGCAATCCCCCTTCCTGGAGGATTGTCTGGGGATGGGTAGCTGCTGCCCCCTGCAGGTGGGGCAGCCTCCTGAGACCTCCCATCTGTGAGGCTTGCTAGGTTGATTGCCTTTGGAGTTTAGCAGGCAATTGATCCCTCTTCTTTCTCTTTCTTTCTTTCTTTCTTTCTTTCTTTCTTTCTCCCTCTTTCTTTCTTCCTTTCTTTCTTTCTTTCTTTCTTTCTTTCTTTCTTTCTTTCTTTCTAGAAGATACTATTGCTTGTTTCAGGACTTTGTTGGAATTATTGGTGTTCAAAGGCTTTTCCCTTTCCTACCAGATTGTGAGATCCTTGAAAACCAAACTCTCATTTATCTTTGAAGCCCAAAGGACCTGACCCAGAATCTGCAAAGAGGGAATGAGCAGAGCCCTTGCATGAATATGCAAACTCCCCTTGGAGTTATGCAGTTTAGCCCTATGAGTGAGGGAATGCACGAGGGACTGACAAGTGTGGGCACCTATATGGCACCTACCATGTGCCAGGCACTGCACCAAGTGCTCTGCAGATATTGCCTTATCTATTAAACATGGGAGTGAGCACTAAATGGATGGGTCCCCCTGCATGGTTTTTGGCTCAGGACTGGAGGTTTTCTCTGTTGGAGACATGCATTCCCAGTTCTGAGCCCCAGTTGTTTTGAGGGTAACAGTCTTGGTCTCACATCAGTGGAATGGGGACAGGTGGGGTCCCAACCTGACAATGCTGTTGAATGTCCAGAAAGATGCCTCACCTCTTGGTGGAACCCCAAGATCAGTAAGCAGTCGTCTCCATAGCTGCAAAGAGGACTTTCCTCTTGGTTTCTCTCCAATATCACTCAAACCATCTGCCTACTGCTGTTAGAGTCCTTCCCGAGGTGAGAATAGAACTTTCTTGATGTTAGCACCAACAACTGTACCAATGTGTTTCATTAACATTTAGCACTTCAAAATATTTCCTCATTCATCATCTACTTTGGTTTTGAAGCCTAACCCATTTCTCCCATCTCTTCTAGCTCCATCACAAGATAGGTAAAAAAATGCCTTACTTTATATCTATTTCCAGATGAGGACATTGGTCAAAATGAAGGACAGGGTTGGTGCCAGCTCATATGCAAGACTGATTATAACTTAGACTTCTGGTTCTCATTTTTTCTCAGCTGTTATTTCAAAAATATACTTGGGCAGGGAAAACACAATGTTGCCCACCATTGTGCTGTCCACAGAGAGAGGGGCATGGGAGTGATAGAGACGGAGGGTGACGGACAGAAGGGGTCAGGAGGAGATGCTTGTTTAGAGGTGGCTGGGGTCAACCCTGCGAAGAGGCTTGAGGGCAGGGACAGAGGGAGTGGAGCAGTCACAGGGAGGACACGGGTGGGAAGAGGATGTATTTTAAGACAGAGA